ACTATGTTGTGAATCTCACTAAACTCAACTCTTTTCTGGAAAAGGTGAAGGGGATCAAAACTGATTTAACAGCTGGAAGGGAATGATGGGTAAAGTTGCTGGTAAACAGTTTGGCAATCTGGGTACCACCTATTTGTCCCACTAATGAATATGGTAAGATAGAGTCAGAGAAACCTGAGTTTGAATTCCAACTCTCTTACCTTCTGCATGGGTAGCCTAAAATGAGTTTCTTCACCTCTCTGAAAATACGATTGGATTCCTCATTTGAACAGAGTTCAAATGTCTAAAGATTTAAGAGCTAATATCCACATAACAGCAGACCCTTCTTAATTTAGAAGTACACCATTGGTTCCTGGGAGTCTCACCTACATTCACAAACTACTCAAAACCGCAAAGTGCCCTGACCTTCCACATCTGCTTCCCACTGAGCATCCTGGAGATGCCTTAYAGATGTGGCTAAGCACAGCCAGAAGACAATGCCAATGCCAAGCATGGTGATCAGCCCCATGATGACTCAAAGTTTGGGAGTAATTTGTTATACAGCAATAGACCACAAATACAGATTTCCTTACAGGGTGAGATTCTTCATACCACAACACTGATGTGTTGGAACAGCTTTGGCACTGGGCAGCAGGCAGAGGCTGAGGGACTTTGAGGAGAATGTTAGTGGAAGCCCAGAGTCTTAGTGGAACCCTGTTRGTGGAACCCTGATGGTCTTTGAGAAGGTTACAGGGGGAAGGACTTAATGGGAAATGGGAAAAATGTCATTGAAAAYTGGAGGAAAGAGGTGATTGTTATGTAGAGGCAGAAGCTTAGTAACAGTGTTAACTGCAGTCCTGTGGAAAGAAGAACATGTGTGGTACTAAGAACATTTCCTGGTAGAATGGGGTTTCGTTATTTGTTTTTGCAGTGCTATGAATGGAGCCCAGGGTCTCGTGTATGATAGGCAATAGTTCAACCATCGAGCTACATCCCCAGTCCTCCTGCAGAGTCTTGAAAATTCTGGCAATATCTTCTGGCTAGATATAACAAAATGTGAAAAGAAAGGGATTACCTAAAGAAGGATTTAGGAAAGGAAAGAAAGAAAGAGAATCTAGAACTAGCTAGGTTCTAAAATTCCCAGCTTCTCCACATGGCAAATGATGCTAAAACAAAGAAACTGTTTCCAGTCATAGATTAACTCCAGAATGCTACCAGAAAAACATCACCAAATGATGAAGTGAGAGTATGGCTGTAAACCCCTTTGTTTAAACCTTAAAAAGGTCTAAAGAGTTGATTTAGGGGAGCATGCAAACATAGGGTTTCAAAGATGGCTTAGGGTATTGTACCTTAGCAGTTTCAACAGAGGGACTCCCCCATTAGAGGAAAAACTTATCTTGAAGAGATTTGTGGGTATCAGTTTTGTCCAATAGAGTGAAATCCATTAGATTTACAGGAGACTTAAAGAACATTAAAGGTATTACATTGGCAACAACACTGCTAACATGGATACACAGAGTACAAAATGAAAGTGACCTTTGGGCTCCCTAAATTCTACTGGAAGGAAGCAAACCAACAAAACTACACAGCTGCAAACATGTGCTGCTTTTAATATAAAAGGATGACTCAGAGAATGGAACCAAAGAATCCAAGGGGTGAAGTCAAAAATCATAGAAAGTTGTTCCCATGCAAGAGTAGACCTGAGCTATATCAAGGAAATTCATCAGATACCAAACTGGATTTAAGTATGCTACGGCTGAATAACTCTTCAGGTACTCCTATCTTTCCTCTTTTTTGAATAAGAATGTTTTTCCCAGTCATCTGAAGCCTGCCCCATCGTTGTTTTGGGATTATAAATGAGTTATAAATATGCAGAGGAACTACACTTGAGGAGTTGTACTTCTATACAGGAGACTTATCTGTACCCAAACCCAATTAAGGTGACAAGATTGTGGATTGACAATATAACGGGTTAAGACTTTTKGGGTCTTTGGGAAGTGAAAGTAATTGCATTAAGAGATACACAAATCTTTGGAGATCAAAGGGCAGACTGTGGTATCTAGCAGAAAAAGTGGCTCCAAAGATTCTGTACCTCTTGGTATTTGTGCCTTTGTGAAATTTCTTTCCACACTGGATAGAGCTGATCTTGGTAACCAATAAGCTGTGTTGGAAATGATGGTGTTTAATTTCAGGGTTTAGGTCATACAGGACATAGCATCTTCCATCTTGTCCTCTCTTGCATCCAGGGCTTTGGGAGAATTCAACTGTTATGTCACTAGGACAATCAACAGTACTGTAGGAGGTGGTGAAGCCCCCTGCCTACAGCACGTGTATGAACCATGTTGGAAGCATATCCTATATTTATAGGTTAGCCTTCAGGAAACTATGGCCCAGTCAACAGCTTTACTAAAATCTCTTGAGAGATCTAAGCCAGAGTGTTATGGTTTGGATGTGAAATGTCCCACAAAAGCTCACATACATGTAAGACAATGCAAGAAGGTTCAGAAGAGAAATGATTGCATTGTGAGAGTCTTAACCCAATCAGTGGATTAATCCCTTGATAGGAATTAATTAAGTAGTAGCTGAAGTGTAGGGTCTGGCTGGAGGAGGTGGGAATTGGGGGCATGGATTTCAGGTATATATTTGTATCTGGCAAGTGGAGACCTCTCTCTCTGCTTTCTGATCACCATACGAACTGCTTCCCTCTGCCACACTCTTCCTCCATGATGTTCAGCCTCACCTYGAGCCCGGAGGAAAGGATCCAGCCTTCTGTGAACTAAAACCTCTGAAACTGTGAGCCCTCAAAGAAACTATTCCTCCTCTATAGTTGTTCTGGCCAGTTCCTTTAGTCACAGTGGTGAAAAAGCTGACTAAAACACAGAGATACCCAGTTGAACTACTCCCAGATTTCTGTACCACAGAAACTGTGTGAGATAATATTTTGTTTTAAACTGCTACATTCTGAGAAAATTTTCTATGCAAGGGGTCTATCTCTGGATGTTTCCAAAGCTTCCAAATCTAGAGGGAACTGAATGGTTCTGATTTCCATGTAGAGGGGTACAGAAGATCCACCTCATTGATATTGGCACACTATGAAACCAGAACTTTATGAAAACCCTTTCTAATAATTTCATCAGCTTCTGCCTCACAAACCCTGTCTTCACAGGGCTCAAACAAAGATTGTAAAGTGTCAGATACTGAACTGCACAGTATTACATTTTAACTCTGTCAGGATATGATTAAGAAGAAATAATAATAATGATAACAACAAGCCTCTCCCTCCTCTCACCAAAGATCCTAAATACACAAATATCCTTTAAAGACATTGAAAAAATAGTTTCAGCCAAGTGAGGTGACACATACTCATATTTCCAAAGTCCCAGCTTTTGGGAGGCTAAAGTAAGAGGATTACTTGAGCCCAGGAGTTCAAGGCTAGCCTAACAAAATAATGAGACCCTGTCTCAAAAACCAAAAAGCAAAACAAACAAACAAAGAAAAACAACTTTTTTTTTTCCAATGGAAAAAGATTCCTAAATGCAATAACATGTTTTTAAAGGCTAAATTGCTTCCTCTTTCGCCAGGGAAGAGGTGAAAATAACCAAATAAGAAACACTAGTCACTAAATATACTAATGTTGGTGTTTGAGTTGGCATTGATTGCATTTTGTTTTCAGAATGGTGCATCAATCCTTGTTTCCAATACAGACACAGAAATAATTTTCAGAGAAATGAACTGAAGGAAAAAAGAACTATATGAAATTGGAACAAAACAAACTGAATGCTCTTCAGAATTCTTTAGAATTGTTCTGAGGTTTAAAACAAAGTTTCTAAAAAAATAAACATCTAACAAAATTGCTCAAAGATTAACCATATATTATCCATGGAGACACTCCTTGTACCCTAGTATTTTTATGAAGATCATCTGGAAATTCTAGCTTAAAATTATCTAAGGAAATCAATGGAAAACTGACACCATTCCAACCCCTTTCATTGTTATCAACCATATTCCCTCCCCTATGTAAAAAGGCCCTTTTCCTCTCCTCTCTCGATACAAAAAAAAAAGCTTTTCTGTGAATGAAAAGACATCAATATGGTCTAAATACAAGCAGCCAGACAAAAATACCCTATATATTTAAAATACATTTCAAAACCTCCTCTAAAGGGCCATTTCCAGCACTAACTATAATTTGTGCAGAAGTAATATTTAAAGCTTAAAAACATTCAATAGTGCAGGCATCTTTACAATAACCCATGAGATAGGGGTTACTATTGTTTGACTTTACAAAGTTCATTTTTTTTTTTTTTTTAAAGATGGAAAACAAAATGATGAATTAACTTGAGTGTGACCACAATGCTGATTCAGTAATGGTCCTAGGATTTGGGAGCCCTGGGCAATAAGTCTTCTAACACCAGTCTTTTAAAGAGTCATGCAAAGATTTGGCACTTTAATCCTTTCTCTTGGACTCTAATGTGAATCTAGAGGGGCTCCTTCCATAAAGGAGTGAAGGAGTCAGACTGGAACTCTCACTGGACACATACTCTGGATATCTCAGTCTAACTCAAGTTAGGCTCTCGGGAAAAGGGTCTGGGCCCCTAGGAGGCAGGAATGCAAATAGACTTTGCAAACAGACAAAGCTTAGGATGGGAAAAGTTTGCTTGCACAGCCTGACTCTGAGATTCCCTGGGCCTAGGAGAGAGAACAAACATAGCCCTTCTGGGGCCGGTGGAAATCCTGAGAGGTCAGGTTCAGTATGGTAAACAACACGGTCCTGGCACCTCGTAGAACACTTGGGACTGTGCCTAGAAGCTGAAAGACCGAAGTCCACCCGGACCCCAGACTAGAGGAGGTTTATGGGGAAGACTGACACCTCCAGGGAGGGAGCGGGGGAGGCGGGGCCCAACGTCCGCCCCCGCAGCGAGCGGGAGACTGCATCCATCCTGGTTTTGCCGGGGATGCTGCGATCCCGAGTGGCGGAGCTGAGCCCCGCRGGAAAAGCAGAAAAGGGCCGTTGCCACTTTAAGTGACTCAGGAAGTGAAAGGAGGACGCCTGACGGTGAGAGGAAAGTGGAACCGGGGCGGTGCGGGCCGGCGGCGGCCGCGATCTCCCCGGGCAGCGGAGGTCGAGCAGCAGCGCGGCGCGGCGCAGCGCGGGGGCCGACGGGGCGCGAGCGGCCGCGCCGGAAGTGCCGGCAGCAGAGGAAGCGCTGCGCAGCGCCGCGCGAGGAGGCCGAGCCGGCGGGGAGGCCTTGAGCTCGCGGCCCGGCGAGGGCGGCCGCGGCCCCAAGCCCCGCTCCCGGACGCCGCGCGGCCCAGCCGAGTGGCGACTCCCGAGGAGGGGACCCCGGCSCCGGGGTAAAGGAAGAGAGGAGGCCGCGCCAAGGGGAGGCGGCGAGCCCGCGGGCCCGGAGGCCTCGGCCGCGTCACAGCACCCACATGGCCTCCGGAGTGGGCGCGGCCTTCGAGGAGCTGCCTCACGACGGCACGTGTGACGAGTGCGAGCCCGACGAGGCTCCGGGGGCCGAGGAAGTGTGCCGAGAATGCGGCTTCTGCTACTGTCGCCGCCACGCCGAGGCGCACAAGGAGAAGTTCCTCAGTCACCACCTGGCAGAGTACATCCATGGCGCCCAGGCCTGGACCTCGCGAGCCGGCGGGGAGGGGGCCGGGAAGGAAGAGGTCGGGGCCAAGGTGGAGCAGGACGGGGAGGTAGAAAGCGAGGCGGGGGAAGAGAGCGAGTCGGAGGAGGACAGTGAGTCGGAGGAAGAGAGCGAGACGGAGGAAGAGAGCGAGGACGAGAGCGACGAAGAGAGTGACGAGGACAGTGAGGAAGAAATGGAGGATGAGCAAGAGAGCGAGGCGGAGGAAGACAACCAAGAAGGAGAGTCGGAGGCAGAAGGGGAAACCGAGGCAGAAAGCGAATTCGACCCAGAAATAGAAATGGAAGCCGAGAGAGTGGCCAAGAGGAAGTGTCCAGACCATGGGCTGGATTTGAGCACCTATTGCCAGGAAGATAGGCAGCTCATCTGTGTCCTGTGTCCAGTCATTGGGGCTCACCAGGGCCACCAGCTCTCCACTCTAGATGAAGCCTTCGAAGAATTGAGAGTAAGTATTGGGTATTGAAGAGCAGAGGCCTAGGGGTCAGGGCAGGTGGGTTTCAATTCAGATGACCTCGCAGTGACTACATTGACTTGTCCCTCAAAAGCTAGACTATTCAACTTCCTGGGAGCTGTTCTTATTCACCCTTTTTGGTTGAACAACTTTGAGAATCACTTGAAGGTATGGCCATTAACCTGAAAAAAACATATGTGTACACATGAAATCTAGTGTATAATTTCTGAAAAATTGCAAGCCTCTTGTCTCTGGATCCCAGGCAAAGCATTCCTTAAAAGTTTTTGACTCCCACTTTGGTCAGTCTCCAAAGCACCATCATTGTCAAAACTAGTGCCTTGACGGAAGAGTTTTTGATAGAGGGATCTCTGCTTCCTTAAAAACAGGAAACCGTGATTTTGTCAAATAAATCCAAGCAGTGATTCCTCTGCAAGGAATACTCCCTAGGGTAGTGATTTTCATAATTACTTGATGTGAGCCTTGGATGCTGCTTTTTAGTTCTTCATGTGTGAAACTTGGTAGGAGTGTAAGAGGGCCAAGGCCAAATTTGGGTAGAAATGAAGGTTCTCAGGTTATCTGTCTGGGCTTTTACTTACCTTGGACTTTGCTGGTACTCTAAGAACAGTGTTTTGCAAGTAGTAGAATTTAGTAAATATTTGTTGAAAAAATGAATTTGCAAATGTATTTGTATTTTGGATGCTCTCAACAAGCAAGAGAAACTGATGTTAATCAAGTTGAGAAGTTTGTGTGATCAGCATTAAGTGATCAGTACATTAGTAAATGTCATATTATGACAACTTTTGCTCTCTAAGCAACCTTACAGTTGCTAGCATTGAGATAACAAAAAATTTTTTTGATACTGGGAATTGCATCCAGGGGAGTTTTACTAAGAGCCACATCCCCAATATTTTAATTTTTAAATTTTGAGACAGAACTTTGCTGAGGGTCTTGCTAAGTTGCTGAGGCAGGCCTCTAACTTGTGATCCTCCTGCTTCAGTCTCCTGAGTCTGGGATTGCAGGCATATGCCATTGCACCTAGCTGGATAACATATTTTGATAATGAAAATCCCTTGTATTGACATTTTTCCTTTATTATTGCTATTATTATTGTAAAGTACACATTCAGAAAGTATGTAAAAACATGCACAGTAACAATTATAGAGCAAATAGTGATATAACTTCCACCCAGGTAATAAGTGGAATATTACTAGCAATATTGACACCACTTATACACTTTTCCAGTTACAACCATCTCTCTCCCCCATAGGTAACCACTATCCTGACTTTGGGGTAGTTTCCTTGCTTATCTTTATACTTCTACCACGTATATATGCATTCCTAAATTTATTTGAACTTGACACTATTGGTATTATGTTTTTATTATACATTCTTTTGGGTTTTGCTTCAGTTTTTAAATGCAAGATTCATCCATTGAGTGTGATTCATTTTCCTTACTGTATTGAAGTCCATTTTATGAATATGCTACAAGTTACTTATTCTGTCACAGATGAATATTCTTGAAGCTTTGGACTGTTACAATGTCTGTATAAACATTGTTGTTTATGTGTCCTGGTATATGGTTACTTGTGTTTTTAAATAGATTATGAATCTGGGAGTGAAATTGCTGGGTCACAGATTATGCCTATCTTCAGTAATATTAGATGCTACCAACTGTTTTCTAAAGTGGTTGTACCAGTTTGCACCTTCATGAAGAGTATGAGTTCCGCTTGCTCTATATTTTCACCACGACTTGCTGTTAGAGTTTTTCATTTTTGTCAATCTTATGGGCATTTAATGAATGGTATCTTATTGTAGTTTTTATTTCCATTTCTCTGGTTACTTATGACTTTGAGTATCTTTTGTATTTCCTCTTTTCGTGAAGTACCCCATCAGATCCTTTGCACATTTTCTAATGGAGTGTGTATCTTTTTTTTCGCCATTAATTTATAGGAATTTTCCATGTATTTGTTCTTGACTTCCTTGTTGTTTTATATGGGTTTCAAATATCTTCTAATTTGTGTTTTTTCTTTTTTTTTAAGTTCTTTTTTTTTTWAAATATTTATTTATTTTTTTTTAGTTCTCGGCAAACACAACATCTTTGTTGGTATGTGGTGCTGAGGATCGAACCCGGGCCGCACGCATGCCAGGCGAGCGCGCTACCGCTTGAGCCACATCCCCAGCCCCTTTTTTTAAGTTCTTGAATGAAGATTTTAACAAGCTATAATTTATCAATACTTTATGGTTTGTGCTTTTTTGATCTTATTCCACTTAGTAATGATTTTTTTTAGTGAAAGTATTGGTCCGTTTCATTTTTTGCCCCCCATACAGATAACCAGTTGCTCTAACAGCATTTATTGAAAAAGAACACCTTTTGCCAGGTGTGTGTGGTATGCCTGTAATCCCAGTGACTTCCAAGGCTAAGGCAGGAGATTTGTAAGTTCAAGGCCAGCCAGGGCAACTTAGCTGGACCTTGTTTCAAAAAACAAAAAATTTAAAACAAGCCTGGGATTTTAACTCAGAGGTAGAACACCCCAGCAGTGCCAGAAAAAAAAAAAAATGCCCTTTATATGCTGATCTACTATGCCATCTCATATATCAAGTGTTTGTGAGAGTGTATCTTGACTCTTCTTTTCCTTACTGTTACAGTATATTTCTCTGTGAACAAGATGTTTTCTCAGTTACCATAGCTTTTAATATCTGGTGGAGCAGGTCCTTCTACTTTGTTCTTCTACAAGTGTTTCAGCCAGACTTATTCTTTACATTTTGTAGAATTATGCTATATTTWAAAAAAATATTTGTTTATTAGTTGTACACAATACCTTTATTTTATTTATTTATTTTTATATGTTGCTGAGGATCGAACCCAGGGCCTTGCACATCCTAGGCGAGCACTCTACTGCTGAACCACAACACCAGCCCTATAAAAAATTTTTTTCAAGATTTTCTGGAGGTATTTTTTGGGTATTGTATTGAATTTATAAACCAATATAGGGTGAATTAATACCATTACAATAAAAAGTCTTGTGGTCCATTTATTTAGGTTTTATTGCTTCAGTTATAGTTTTCCTAAAAGATCCTTTGTGAAGTTTATTTTATATATTTCATAATTTTATATTGTAAAAATGTTTTTAATTTTTGCTTTTTAATTACGTATAGGAATTTGATTAGATTTTCCATATTGAGTTTTTTTTTTTTTCTTCATACCAGGGATTGAACTCCAGGACACTCGACCACTGAGTCACATTCCCAGCCTTATTTTGTATTTTATTTAGAGACAGGATCTCACTAAATTACTTAGGAACTCACTAAATTTCTGAAGCTGGCTTTGAAATTGCCATCCTCCTGTCTCAGCCTTCAGAACTATTGGGATTACAGGTGTGCGCTACTGTGTCTGGCCTCCATATTGGTTTTTATATTAAGCTATCTGCTAAATTCTCTTACATATCCTAATAATTTATTTGAAGTATGGTATATTTTATAGTTTTTAATACGTATGTTTCATCAGATTAAGAAGATTCTCTTTTAGTCCTAGTTTGCTGTTTTTCTTAGATATTTCTTAGATATTGAATATCAAGCTATTTTTCTGCATTTGTTGGAGTGATCTATGTTGATGTGATGAATTAATTGATTTACTTTTTGTGATTAAATTAAAAATCAGAAATATGTTCACATATCTCTGAAGCCTCTGTTCTTTGCTTCTTCCACTAGCTGGTAAACATTTTTATTAATTCTTTGCTTGTTCGGGTTTTTTTATTTTTTTGCTTGCTTGTTTGTTTTTTAAATAGAGGTGTGCACATATGTATATGGCCTTATTTTCATCTCTTCGTGTTTGTATGTTTTATAATTAAATCAACTTTGCATTTCTGGGATATATTTGACCCAACTTGGTTATGATGAAGTATCATTATGTTTTTGTATTTGGTTTACTAATAATTTATACAGTATTTCTTTTTCATTATATTTATCAGATTGCCTGTAATTTTTGTTGAGGGGGGATGCTGGGGATTGACCTCAGAGGGGCGTAGGGCCTAATTATGTCTTAGAGGCTGGCCCGGAACTTGTGATCCTCCTGCTCACTAGGATTACAGGTGGGTGCCAAAGCCCCTGGCAATTGTTCTTTTTTTGTACTGTTCTCATGAGATTTTGTTGTCAAGGATATGCTGGCCTCATAGTCTAAAACAGGGTATAATATTTCTGACATGTCCTGTTCTCTCAATGTTCTAGAAGTATTTTTGTAAGATTGGGTATTTCTTCCTAAAAGTTTGATAGAACTAACCATGGATGTTACCTGGACCTTCTTTTCTCTCCCTCCCTCCCTCCCTTCCTTCCTCTGCTGGGTTGGATCAAGCCCTGGGCCTAGAGCATGCTAGGCGAGTGCTCTATCACTTAGCTAAATCCCCAGCCCAATCAGGACCATTCTTTTCTCATATGTAGCTATCCTCTGTTTCTTTTAAGAGCAGTAGGCATGTTGATTTGTAGTCTGCCTCTGATAATTCCAATATGTGAAGCATTTATAGAGCTCTATCTGCTGGTGTTTTTGATTTTTTTCTTTGAAATTATTTATCTCTCTCTCTCTCTCTCTCTATCTCTCACACACACACACACACACACACACACACACACACCTTTTATGCTTGACTGAGTAACTGAGTTGTCTTTAAAATATTATTTTTGGGAGCAGGATATGGTGGCATATGTCTATAATTCCAGCAACTCAGGAAACTGAGGTAAGAGGATAGCAAGTTTGAGGACAGCCTCAGTGACTTAGCAAGACTCTCAGCAACATAGTGAAACTGTCTCAAAATAAAAAAGTACTGGGAATGTAGTAAAGTGCCCCTAGGTTCAATCCCCAGTACCAAAACAAAACACCAAAAACTGTGGAGGCTCTTGAAGACTTGAATGAAGCTGTTTGTCAATAGAAGATTTTGGCTTGCTTTTAAAGCTGAGGCCTGAGAATACAACTTCTGTAGAACTCCCTTAAACTAAAATTAATT